TGTTTTTAATGTGATCACTTGAGGTACCTTATCCTTGTTATATATCAGCTCGGATTTCAGTTGTTTGGTGCAGAAGAAACCATTTAAAAGACTAAAAGAAGTTTCTTTCTGGATCTTTACTCGTACATTTCTTGTCGCGATTCAGGAATATGAAGATGCAATAGTACTCGAGACTCACAATGCAGGGAATATAGAAGCAAAATAAATTGCACTCCTACAATGCTGGCATAAAGTGGGTAAGACAATACATGAGGAAAGCATAGCTAATCAGCACTCTAAAGATAGAGGACTTAGTGTTGTATGAGTGACAACTTCGTTTTATGTATTTGATCTAGTCAACAGCAATAGAGCCTTTGATGGTTGTGACGTGTCGTGACGACTCCAAAAGGTCGAGGCCAAGGTTGAAGGATGAAGTGATGCTGAGGTCAAGCAGAGTTAGCAGCTGGCGAGGACGAGGACGAGCTCCCCTTCTGGGTACGAAGTGGCAACCAGTCGAGGTTTTATATTCCCGAAGGAATATTCTAAGGATATTCCTTCTTGTTGTACTTTCTAGGGTTTCGTGGCCCATGTTCCCATATAAATAGGGACAGATGAAGGTAAGATTCTCACTTTATTGAATAGAAACAAAGCTTGACTTTACATTTTCCTTCTTTTATCCTTCTTCTCCCAATCCAAGAAGGATCGGAATATACGGTTGTTTATCATCATCCATCATTATCAGAAAGACACCTGGGGTATTCATCCTTGTCGGGTTATCTTTGTCTCATTTACTATTTGAAAGTCATTTATTGCTCTTTTTTTACATCTTCTAAGTCATTATTGCTCCATTATTGTCCCAAGTTGTTTTACTTAATGTTATACATTAAATATTCATTGTAAAATACTAGATCTATTCTTGAATATTAATATTGACTATGATTAGCCCTATTTTTCAATAAATCTAATTGTAAAAAATCAAAATCTATTTTTTGGGTCATACAAGTGTCACTGAAGACCCCAAGACTCTTCTTGAAATCTCCTATACTCATGTCACTAATGTTCCCTTTCTATTATTTCTTTCACAAGTATCACCCATTTTGTTGCCAATGTTCTGGAAAAGCTGTATAATATTTTTGATAGATGTCAAACAGAATGTCTTCTTTTCCATTTGCTGTGCAATTATTTGGTTGAAAAAAGAGCATAACCCTGTACTAATGTACAAAGACAGCTAATGATCGAATCTTAGTGGTACTTTCCCTCAGATACTTTTTGGCCCACGTACTTTATCACATGTTGAATAGTGATTTTAATGGTTGAAACATGTCCGTTAGTAGTAATAGCTTCTTGTTTTGTACGGACCAGCTAGGAACACAATTAGAGGGTGAAGAAGGGGCTTAACAAACAACAATCAAAAAGTGGCCGACTTTGTAGCAAATGGTAGGTGGGACATAGAGGCTTTGCTACAACATGTTGGTACCTGGATATCCAATTAACCTAGGTATTTGGTTTCTAATGGAATCTGCTATGGTTCTCAACTCATCAACATGGGATCTGGTTAGAAGATATAAGCAGGAAAACTACACATATAAGATTAGCTTTTTTGCTATGAAAGGTATGGAATAGGAAGCCAACTCTAGATGACATTTTGCAGCAAAATGTGAAAGTACAAGGGGGGAGGGGGGGGAGTTGTAGCCGATTTAAAAATCTTAGTTGACTGAGTGTAAGTTTAGCCGACTAGACTTTACACAATGAATGATTTCAGTAGAAATGAACTGAACAAACAGAAAGGTAAGGAAGACACAACAATGTTTATACTGGTTCAGTACCGGTGTGGTACCTACATCCAGTTTCCTTGGGTCACAAGGATTCTCTTAGATCTTTGATAAATATTTACAGTAGTGATGGTTTTAGTACGTTCACCATCAACGATATACATCAACAGTGATTTTTGCAGTGTTGACACAACTCTCGTTTTGTGTTCTAAACTCATCCTATCTTTTATGACACTTGTAGACTCAAAAATATAGTGTTTTTACTAAGAACTAGAAAGGCTTAGAAACAGATGATGTAGTTACGTAATCGTCTTCTTGAGTTTGCCAGTCTTCTTATAGGAGAGTTTGAGTAGCCGTTGCAGATTGATCTTTGATTGAGGCACAGAATCCCCTAAGAGATTTGACCCAAGGGGTGCCTCCAAATCCTGCCCAAGAGATGGACTGCATTCATTTACGTCCTTCCCTTTCATATCCATATTCAAGGGAGTGATTTGTGGCTTGATTTGGCTGATCAATCTTCAGTATCTTCAGATTCTAAATTATTCCTTGAAATACGGCATGATATTCTTTAGCAGTTGCACTTGATATGTTTCATTCTTGAAAGCCTCAATGTCATTTGATTTAGCCTTGACTTCCTTTAGCGCTTGGACTTGATTTTGTTTCCTTTTTTATGGCTTTGACTTCCTTTGATTTAGCATCGTTCTTGTTGCCTTGATCTCGTTTCTTTTCTGATGTCCTTACTAAAAGGACTTCCTTTGAAGTAGTGTTGCCTCCTAATTTCCAGCAATTAAATGGATACAATTAGATTTGCACTATTGTCATCATTAAAACTTAGGTGTAACCATTTCCCCCTTTTTGATGATGATAATGAAAAAGGAGTAAACAGAGTATACTTCCCTTTCATAGCTTAAGATGCCTGCTTCCCCTGAGTTGTTGATTGATTTACTCATCACTGCTCCCCCTGAGTTGTTGCTCTGGTTTACTCAATCATGTTTCTCCCCCTTTGACATCAATCAAAAAGAGAGAAAAAAAAACAAGTGCAGACATAACATACAAAATAAGGTAGATAATAGACAAAGTAGTTAGGGTAGCAGAGGTTATGCCTTCAGCAGAGGCACAAAGTAATGGTTCTTACAGACCAACACAAAAGTAGTTCACAAAATAAAAGCAAGTAATGACTAAAAAATTATTTTTAACACACACACACTGCCTTAGTTCCTCCCTAGAAAGTACATCAGGGTATTGATCACTTTGGTGCAGAAAGAGTCATAGGAGATTTCAACTTCTTTGGTGATTTTGTCCATCTTTTCGGTCATGGAGTTGAATGCCCTGATTCCTTGCCTCCTCGTAGCTCCCATGTCTATCCTGAGCTTGGCCGCATCTGTACTTGTTTCTTTGGTGACTTCCCTAATCTTGTCCACCTGTTCTTTCATTGCAATGAGCAGGATTTCTACCCCATCTAGACTTTGCTGAATCTGTTGTAGGTTGTTAGTGGCAATCGACTGAGGCTTTGTTGGTTCAGTAGGTGCTTCGACCTGCACTGGAGCAATTTCAACTTTGGCACGCCTGACCCATCCATCGTCACTTAAGGTGTAACCCATCATAGCAAAGGTTGTCTTATAATAGGTACTAGTAGTGTGCTTGGGCGAGAAAGGTGCAAAGTCAACCTTCATGACTTCAAGAATATGTGAGATGAGCAAACCATAGGGTAAACAAGCAGCAGAAGAGGATATATCCCTGATACTTTCAAGCATATACTAACGAATCCACACGAACCAGTCAAGCCTTTTATTGTTCACAAGACAGTAAAGAACAAAAATATCTCTATTAGTCAAAGTATTGAGGGATCCAGTTCTAGGAAGTAAGGTAGTGGCTATTATGTGGGTTAAAACGCAGTGTTCAAACTTGAGATTTTTAGGACCAATGTCAGGAGGGTTATCAGACAAAAGCTTTTGCCTCTTCTAAGGAAACTTCAAAGTCTTTAGGCCAGGAATTTTGCACGAAAACATCATAACCATGAAACTTAGCAGAAAATATCTTCTCAAATTGATAGGAATCAAGAACAATCTGAGTGCCTAAAACCATGGACTCCAAGTCATCTTTGTCATTAACAAACAGATTTGCATAAAACATCCTCACAGGCTCTTTATACACAGAATTTCCAATAGTATCAAATAAAGGAGAAAGACATTGAAAGTCAAAAATAGCAATCATATCACAGTGCAAATTTTTCATAAGAGAGAGACTTACATAGCATCCATAAGCCATAGATTTAGATTTATAGGACTCAAACCTTGATTTCTCACTTGGTCCATATAAGTTCAGTTTGTCCTCTGGCCTAAAATCTGTGCTTTCCACTTTTCCTTTCTTGCATGCAGGCTTTTTGGGGGTTTGCTCTATAGGCCTTTTTCCTACCTTTTTCTGGCTAATAGGAAGATCCTCCGATGATTCACTGCTTTCATTATCGGTTTTGAGGAAGTATGAATCGAGGGATGATTCAAGGTCAACTGTTTCTTCAGGGTTGTAGGTTTTTTGAAATTGTCTGCTTCCTCTTGTAGCATTGGAAGATGAGAGGTTTTTCTTTTCCATGGTAGAGGAATTTTGTGAGAAGAGCTGAAGAATGAGAAAGGAAGGTGATACTTATCTAGGCTTTTGGAAGGTTGAAGAGTTGCATTGGTTAAGGAAAAAGTCAGGTACAGAAGGAAGTGACACTTTTGAGGAGATGCTTCGGCGACACCAATGGAAGTGTGATAATGACACTCACATCAAAATTAATACACTCATCAATTAACCAAACTAAGAAAGGAAGTAAAATATTTTATGAAAGAATTTTTACATAATAGACGTAATACCAATCTTTTTGCGCAGTAGATAAAATCTTTCTTCCAAAAGAGGTTTTGTAAAAATTTCAGCAAGTTGAGACTCAGTATTAATGAATTCTAACATGATATCAACTTTTGCAACATGATCACAGATAAAATGATGCTTAATCTCTATATGTTTTGCCCTAGAGTGATGCACATAATTTTTTGACAAACATATAGCACTTGTATTATCACAGAATATAGGAATAGAGGTAAGGGATAAATCATAATCGAGAAGTTGATGCACGATCCAAATAACTTGTGTACAGCAACTTCCAACAGCTAAATATTCTGCCTCAGTAGTTGACAAGGCAACCCAATTTTATTTCTTACTATGCCATGAAATTAGTGCATTTCCCAACAATTGGTATATGCCACTAGTACTTTATCTGTCAATCCTATCACCTGCAAAATCTGCATCTGAAAAACTTTTTAAAACAAAATTATTAGAATGAGCATACCGTAATCCTAATTCAGTGGCTCCAATAAGATATCTAATAATGTGTTTAACTGCAGTAAGATGGGATTCTTTTGGAGCTGACTGAAACCTTGCACATTTACATACACTGAACATTGTATATAGTCGATTAGCAGTGAGATATAACAAAGATCCAATCATTACTCTATACATAGTTTCATCCATACTTTTTCCATTCTTGTCTTCTTCAAGCATAGTTGTTGGACTCATTGGAGTTCCCATGGACTTTGCATTCTCCATACCAAACTTCTTTATAAGTTCCTTGGTGTACTTGGTTTGGCTAATAAAAATACCATTGGGAGATTGTTTGATTTGCGGTCCAAGAAATAAAGTTAGCTCTCCCATCATGCTCATTTCGAATTCCCCTTCAATAATGTGAGCGAATTCTTCACATAACATAGATTTAGGGCTTCCAAAAATAATATTGTCAACATAAATTTGAGTAATAAGATTACCTGAATTTGAGTGCTTAATGAACAAGGTTGTGTCGATATTACCTCGTTTGAAACCATGATTTAGGAGGAAGAACTTAATCTTTCATACCAGGCTCGGGGGGCTTGCTTTAGTCCGTATAGAGATTTAGACAGCTTGAATACATGGGTTGGGAAGATGTCACTTACAATGACATGAGGTTATTCCACGTATACTTCTTCAGAGATGTATCCATTTAGGAAGGGACTTTTTACATCCATTCGAAATAGTTTGAATCCTTTATGAGAAGCAAAAGCAAGTAGTATTCTTATAGACTCTAATCTTGCTACATGTGCAAAAGTTTCATCGTAGTCGATTCCCTATTGATGAGAATAACCTTGAGCAACTAGCCGTGATTTGTTACGAACGACTTAACCAGACTCATTCAACTTATTTCTGAAGACCCATTTAGTTCCTACAATGGAAGCATTTGATAGTTTTAGAACCAAGTCCCACACTTTATTTCTTTCAAATTGATCAAGTTCACCTTTCATAGCTTTGATCCAGTAGTCATATTTAAGGGCTTTATCAACCTTCTTTGGCTCAAGTTGTTATATTAAGGCCATGTGAGAGTTGAACTTCTGAGATCTTCTGGTTGTGATACCCTCTTGTGGATTTCTAATGATGAACTTGTGAGGATATCCAGGTTCACTTTTCTATTCATTTGGAACATTCGTGATTAGCTCATTTTCTACAGTGGTTGACTGTTCCGTAGAAGATGATTCCTGGATTTCAATTTGTCCCTCAGTTAACTGATTTTGTTGACTGGTCGACAGATAGTGACTGTCTTCCTGCAACAATATACTTTGGGACAATAGAGATTTCCTCATCTTTAGGAAGTTTTTCATTCTTTGAGCGAGGGTTAGTATCCACAAAAACAACATGAATAGATTCTTCAATGCATAAAGTTATTTTATTGTAAATACTATATGCTCTACTTGAGGGAGAATATCCAAGAAATATACTTTCGTTGCTTTTTGGATCAAACTTACCCAAGTTGTCTTTTCCATTTTTGTGAATGAAGCATTTGTATCTAAATAGGTGGAAGTAACTGATGTTGGGTTTCTTACCATTCCATAGATCATATGGAGCCTTTTTAAGAATGTGTTGAATTAGACATCTGTTGATAATATGACATGCTGTGCTTACAGAATCTGCCCAGAAGTGGTGAGGTAGAGAGTTTTCCACAATCATGGTTCTTGCCATGTCCTGCAAAGTTCTGTTTTTACGTTCTACCACTCTATTTTGTTGAGGTGATCTTGGCGAAGAGAAGTTGTGAGAAATTCCTTGAACGTTGAAGAAGTTTTCAAATGCTCTGCTCTCGAACTCCCCTCCATGGTCACTTCTGATAGTGGAGATGTAGTATCCCTTTTCACGTTGTACCCTCTTATAGAAGACTTCAAAATTCCTTAGAGCTTCATCTTTATGACTCAGAAAAATAACCCAAGTGAAACGAGAAAAATCATCTACGATAACAAAAGCGTATTTTCTACCACCAATACTAGCAATTCTAGTTGGACCAAACAAATCCATATGCAAGAGTTGAAGAGGTTTAGTAGTAGAAACAATGTTTTTAAATTTGAAAGATGAACGAGTTTGTTTTCCTAGTTGGCATGCATCACAAATATGATCTTTTGAAAAATCTTGTTTTGGAAGACTAATGACAAGATCACGTTTAGAAAGTTTTTGAATAGTATGCATCCTAGCATGGCCAAGCTTCCTATGCCATACCCAAGGATCATCAATCATAGATGCTAGACAAATTTGATTACCAAGACTGTCTATATTACTGATAGTATAGACATTCATGTCTCTATTACCAGAAAGAATAACTTTACCTGATTCGTCTTCAATAAACCAACCATGTTTTTTTAAAATGAACCTCAAAGTCATTGTCACATAGTTGACTGATACTGAGAATATTGTAACCAAGTTCATTAACCAGGTATACTTCGTCTACATCACATGTTGAGATGAGAGGAACTCTTCCAACTCCAATTATATTTCCTTTTGATTTGTCTCCAAACTTGATAGTTCCTCCATCTAATTTGGTGACCGTCTTGAACAGTTGTTTGTCACCAGTCATATGTATGGAACATGCGCTATCAAGATACCATTTCCATTTTCTATTCTTCTTGCGTTATTCCTGCAGAAAAAGAGAATTACTTGTTTTTAGGTACCCAAGCTTGCTTGGGTCCTGAATGGTTAGTATTCTGAGTATTAGCTTGACTGGAGGGCTTGGGTCGCCAGACCCATCTCCTATTGTTCTTGAACCTGCAATGGTTAGAAGTATGACCAAGTTTTCCAAAGTAGAAACATGAGGGATTATTGGATTTTTAGAGATATTTTCTCCTATGATTCTAAACCTGCAATGGTCAGAGATTTGCCCATGTTTACCACAATAAGCACATAAAGAAGGATTTCTAGTTCTAGGTGGAGGATTGTGAGGAACAAATTGATTTGATCTAGTTGAGCTATGACTGGTGGATTTTCGTAATCCATTCAGTTGAATGTGAAGTTCATTAACTTCATCCTGAAGCATATCTCTTTCAATTTCACATACTTCTAACTTCAGAGCCCAATTTTTCTTTTCTATTTGGATTTTTCGAAGTTCATTCAGAACTTTTTCAAGATCTACAAGAGCAATGTCAATAAATTCTTGAAGTTCATGACAGTTAGGACATGTAGGAAGACGTACCTCACTTGTACCTTCGTATGCCATGAGACCAAGTTCACGTGAGTTTTCATCGCTATCTCCATTGATGGCCATAAAACACATGTTGGCAATTTCTTCATGGTCAGATTCTTCTTCATCACTCCAAGCTCCAAAGGATTTCTTATTTTGAAAGTTCGTGCTGAGTTTCTTTTTCAGTTCAGGGCATTCAGCTTGAATGTGTCCATGTTTTCCACATTCATAGCATCTTCCATCATTTTTATCATTATCATTGTTCATCCTTCCTTTTCTGAAGTTTGATTTACATCTACTACTATTTCAGTTTTTCCTCATCATTCTTGTTACAACTTGAGAGAGCATAGCTATATTTTTATCTTGTTCTCCTCCTTCCTCTTCCTCTTCATTTTCTTGTTCAGCCACAGTTGCTTTGAATGCATCTGTCTTCTTCTTTTCTTATTGAATTTGCCTATCTAAGTGTGTTTTCTCAAATACAATTAGATCACCTCTAAGTTCATCATAGGATATCTTGTCGAGATCTTGACATTCTAGAGCAATGACTTTAGGTTGCCAAATCATGGGAAGACTTCTTAGAATTTTTCTGACTTGTTCTCCGCTTTTGATTGGTCTACCAAAAGACTTTAAATATCCAAGGATTTTGCTGAACCTGGAGAACATTTCCTCTATTGATTCTCCATCCTTCATTTGAAATAATTTATAGTCTCGAACTAGGAGATTTATCCTTGTTTCTTTCACTTTGTTGGTTCCTTCATATGTGACCTCTAATTTATCCCACATTTCCCTTGTAGTTTCACAGCTTGATATCTTTTCATATTCTTCTACATTGATAGCAATGTACAACATATTTTTTGTTTTAGCATTCAATGTTATGACGGCTGATTGTTCTTTAGTGTAATCATCTAAATCAAGTGGATCAGTTGATACTATGACTGGACCATTTTCATCTTTCTTTGGCAAAATTGGAAGATTTCCCTTTTTGATCACGCGCCAAATTTAATGTCATATGACATAGTTTAGGTCTCCATACGTACTTTCCAATGAGAAAAATGCTGGCCGTTAAAATACGGGGGTTGTACTTGAGAATTTCCTTCTTGAAATAGCGCTCCAACGATTGTATTTGATCCCATGATCTTTTCCTCACTTGCTGTTAAGCAAAGTTTGTGAGCCTTGCTATGATACCAATTGAAAGTACAAGAGGGGGGGATTGTAGTCGATTTAAAAATCTTAATTGACTGAGTGTAAGTTTAGTCGACTAGACTTTGCACAGTAAGGAAGACACACCAATTTTTATACTGGTTCAGTATCGGTGTAGTACCTACGTCCACTTCCCTTGGGTCACAATAGTTCTGTTAGATCTGTGATAAATGTTTACAATAGTGATGGTTTTAGTACGTTCACCATCAACGATATACAGCAACAATGATTTTTGCAATGTTGACACAGCTCTTGTTTTGTGTTCTAAACTCTTCCTATCTTTTGTGACACTTGTAGACTCAAGAATACAGTATTTGTACTAAGAACTAGAAATGTTACGTAGACGTTGCAGATTGATCTTTGATTGAGGAACAAAATCCTCTAAGAGATTTGACCCAAGGGGTGCCTCCGAATCCTGCACAAGAGATGGACTGGATTTGTTTACGTCCTTCCCTTTCATATCCATATTCAAGGGAGTGATTTGTGGCTTGATTTGGTTGATCAATCTTCATTATCTTCAGATTCTAAATTGATGTTTTTAACTTTAATACCACACAAGAGGGAAGGTGATTTGTGTGGTACCAAATTTTTTGCGTAAACTGATTATAAAAGGACCAGGTTCTTCTATGTGTTCCTTAACCTACTATTGCTAAAATAGTAAATGCGGAAAGTAAAGAACACAAGTATTTTATGTGGAAAACAACTGGATCAAAAGGTGAAAAAACTACGACCTACTTCCCAGTAGGATTTTCCCAAACTCTTCCACTAAATCACTGAGCCAAAAACTGCATTTACAAAATACTTTTGTAAACTTAGGATTAACTCTAATCTCGTTGTGGCAAACAGCCTCTAACTGTTGCAACAACTTCAAGTTAACTCTAACTTGAATACTCTGAGTACCTATTACAATTGCCTCTAGATAAAGCTAAAAGGTACAATATGAAAATACCTACTACAATCGAACTAGAATAAAAGACAGACACTTGGAGCTGGTTCT